GAATTTTTGCAGACTGGTGCAACCCTTATGGAAATCAATATGGAGATACCTCAAAGAGCTGGAACTAGAGGTTCCATTTGATCCAGCCATCCCTCTGTTGGGTATCTTTCCAAAAGAATTAAAAGAATCATACTACAGTGATATATGCACACCCATGTTTATAGCAGCACAGTTTATAATAGATAAAACTTGGAAACAGCCCATTTACCCATCAGTTGGAGACTGGATAAAAAAGATGTGGGTTTTTTTTTCTATAAAATGGAATACTACTCAGCCATAAAGAATGAGAAATTAGACTCATTCATAGGAAAATGGATAAATATTAAGGATATACTCCTAAGTGAAATAAATAAGTCACACAAGTGTAAATACCGAATAGTTCTCTAGTGTGAATAAACTGAAACAGCACATAAGATCCTAATGAGATAAGTGACATTGTGAAATGGGAAGAAAATGGCTAAAGGTGTAGGGAAAGTGGGAAGGGTAGGGGAAAGGTAATAAGGGAAAAAAATGTGAGAAAATGAAAAAATGGAAATAAAGTGTTTGTAAATGGGGAGGGGAAGAGGGGGTGAATGGAGGGCAGGGACAAGGGGAAAAAATGAGAAATGTCATGTAAAGGTACAAGACCCCAATAATGAATGTAACTGTACTGTATACCTAAAATATACCAATAAACTCTATAAAAGAAAAAAAAAAAAAAAAAAAAGAAAAGGTATAGAAAAGGTATTGACTCTTACTATCAGGGAAAAGCAAATTAAGTCCAAAATGACATATTTTACATTCAATAAATTAGTCAAAATTAAGAATACTAACCAAATGCTAGTGACAAAATAGAACAATGAGAATTATTACACATTTCTGGCTAAGGTAAAAAATTAGTACCACTTAAACAAATACTTGAGCCTAGCTTATTCTGCAACTCAAGAATCCTATTCCTAAATATGTATCACAGAAAAATTCTTCCACAAATATTCACAGCATTTTAATAGCAAGCAACCAAATTTAGAATGCCTCAGATAGCCATTAGGAAAACTGATACACAATGTCAAAGTCAATTAAATATACAGCAGTGAGTGGGCTGGGGATATAGCTCAGCGGTTCCGCTACCTGCCTTGCAAGCACAAGGACCCGAGTTCAATCCCTGGTACCAAAATAATGATAATAATAATAATAATAATAATAATAATAATAATAATAATAATAACAACAACAACAACAACAACAACAACAATAATAAATATATATACAGCAGTGAGAATTTATGAACTATTCCACACATACAAAAACCAGCAAATTTTATCACCATAATGTTGGTAAAAGATAAGTGCAAGTCACAAAGCACTATATACAAAATGATGCTATCTTTATGGTGCTCAAAAGTAAGCATAATCACAGGTACATAAGACTATTTCTAAAAAGCAAAGAGAGCACATAGGCTAAGTAATGGGCTCATGAGCAGGTGTTTTTTTTATATTTCATACTATATACACACTCAAAAGTTTTAAAAAGGAACAAGTGATCATATATAAACCAAAGTTAACATATCAAGTATGATTAAGAATAAAACAGCCATGGGATTTGCACCTGGGAAATAATTACTTAACATCTCAACTGCTATACCACCCTAAACCAAGTTTTCATTATTCTCCTAACTGGATCATTTCAATACTTATTAACTTTTCTCCTTCAATCCACCCTGATCCTACCCTCTCCATTATCTAGGGCTACACGATTTCCTCTCCAACCCATGTGTCCTACCTACTTCCTCCTGGTCCACTCTGTTCCAGTCACCCTGGCTACAATATCTTTTGTCAAACATACCAAGCACCCTTCTGCATCCAGGACTTTGCACTGTTTACCTTTCACATCTGGAAATTTTGAGAAGTTTTCTGGTTTTTTTGTTTTGTCTTTTTTAGTACTGGGAAATTGAATCATGGTCTTGCTAAATCTAAATCACTAAGTTGTCTAGACTGAGCTCAAACTTACAATCTTCTTACCTCAGCCTTCCAGAGTGCTGCAATTACAGGTGTACAGCAGCTACCATACCCAGCTGCAGACTATCTTCCTTCATGGCACCTATCACTACTTGATGTAATTTTGTTTAACTTCTGCCTCGTCACATAGAATCTAAGCTTCATGAGAAATTATAAATCTACTATTTTATTTCTATTTTCTTAAAAAATATCAGCAAGTACTGAATTCTCAAGAAATGTTTATTTCCAGGCATGGTGGCACACACCAGTAATCCCAGCACTTGGGAGGCTTCAGCAGGAGGATCGCCATGAGTTGGAGGCCTACCTGGGTATATAGTGAGTTCAAGGCCAGCCTAAACTACATAGCAAGATCTCGTCACAGAACCAATAAAAATTTTTTTTCTTGAACAAATGAATAAAAAGGAAGATTTCAAAAGGAGTTTTAGTGAAAGAGTAAGAAGCATTAAAAAATGGTTGAGAGTTTATATAGCCTAGTGGGTGTATGTAGCCTAGTAGTAGAGCCTATTCAAGTGGGAGGCCCAGAGGAGGGAGCGGGGAAGAAGAGACAGAGGAAGGAAGAGAGGAAGGACATCATTGCTCTGAACTCACATTTATATTCTGTGGTAGATGTTGGTGTTTTGTTTTTCTTTCAGTACTAGAAACTAAACCCAGAGCTTTTACACTGAACTACATCCCCAGCCCTTTTTACTTTTAGACAAGAACTCACGATTTCCCCAAAGTGGGCTTGAACTTAATATTCTCTTGCCTTAGCTCCCAGAGCGCTAGGATCACAGGCATGTACCGCCACACAGAGCAGAGAGTGTTTGGTATTAATCTAATTAAGCCTTTACATTTTTCTTTCAGTTTACAAAAATCATGAGAAAAAATAAAGATGTTGTGGAAATAATTACTACATAAATCCTTAATTTTAGATAGTCTTTATACAACTGACTTGCTCAACAAATCAATATATTAAAAAGATCTGCAGCTGGGCGTGGTGGCGCACGCCTGTAATCCCAGCACTTGGGAGGTTGAGGCAGGAGGATCACTGTGAGTTCGAGACCAGCTACATAATGAGTTCCAGGTCAGTCTCAACTACATAGTGAGACCCTGTCTCAAAAAAAACCAAACAAACAAAAAAGAAGCTGCTTTAAATGGGCAATGCTGGCTATTAAGAAAGACTGAGGGTATGGCTCACAGGGAGACTGCTTGCCTAGCATGCTCAAGGCACTGGATTCAATCCCCAGCACAATTTGAAAAAAGGAAGAAGGGAGTAAGAGAGTCAGGAATAGAAAGAGGGGGAAAGAAGGAATCTAAGAGATTAAACAACTGAATGCAATGTAATGAATGGTAAAGACATTTCTGGCACAGCTAGGAAAATCTTAGACCAGGTAATAGACTATGTGGAATCACTGAATTATTAAATAGTAAAAGCTGTATGATAAGAGGGGCAAATAAATGCCATTACTGTGTTGCGATGAATACTGAATTATTAGGGAATATTGCGTCATGATTTCTATAATTTACTCTGAAACATCCAAAAAAATATGACACGATATTAATACCTGTTAAGCCTACACGATAAGCATACAGATATTTATATTCTATTTTTTCTGGCATGGTGTCACTTGCCTGTAATTCCAACACTCAGCAGGCTAAGGCAGGATGATTATCACGAGTTGAAGGCCAATGAGTTCAAGGCCAGACTGGAATATAGCAAGACCCTGTCTATACATACAAATAATTTTAATCTGGCCAAAAAAAGAGAAGTGAAATATGATCTGAAGCTAATGAGTACAAACTGTTCTTTCTTCACTGTCAAGCTGCATGAGAAGAGAATGCTATATTAAGGAAGTTTTTTTTTTTGTTACTTGTAAATTAGAACTCAAAATTACCTTCTTAAATAAAACAATAGCAAAAGAGGGGTGGAAGATTTAAAAAAAGGAATAATTAATGGAGCAAAGACCTGGAAAAAACAGGAATGAATAAATACCCTGTATTCTAAATTAACATTATAAAAGAATAAATACTGTATTCTGAAAAAGAAAGAAATATGGCTAAGTCTATCACGTAGATGACAAGATTTAAATATGATGGCTGAGGAGTTATCAATAAGGTAATTCAGTGAGATTCAAGTATTACAAAAAGGGACTGGGAACTTGGGAAGAACTGTACAGTTTGAAACCACTACAAGGAATGAAAAACTGAATCAAAGCCAATCTAAATATGCACAGAGGAGCACTGGAGATTATTATCAGTAACCTCACTATCTGTGGAGCAACATCCGGTTAAATGAATACAAAATACACAAGGACAAACAAGGCCCACTTACTCCGACCAAAGGTTATTGGCTATCAGAAGGAATTGATAAAGCGGAACAGAGATAGTATAAGTAAGACTGTAAAAGAACTGGGGACTGGAAGTTTGATAAGTAAGCAAGATAAATGAAATTTTTAAAAATTGATTATACAAGTGATAAATATAAAAAGAGAACCAGTACCAGGAAGGCTAAGGGACACTCATTCTCAAGTTTCCTTCCTTCTCCCTTCCTTCACCCCCGCTTCCTCTCCTCTTCCCTTCCCCTCTTCTCTTCCTATTCCCTTCATTTCCCATCCCTTGCCCTACACTCCCCTCCTCTCTCTTCCCCTTCCCTTCCCTTTCCTCCTCTCTCCCTCCCTCTTCTCTCCCAGCACCAAAATAATAATAGCACAATCATATATGTATATATATATACACTCACACACACACACACACACACACACAAATACCAGGCTCCTAACTCCAGTCAATATGGAAAGGAAGTGGGTGTTTAAAGGTAACATACAGTGTATTATGAACCACTAGTAAAAGTAATATGACATTAACTTTGCTATACTAAAACCAATAATAATGCCACCCCCCAAAAAATTCTATAATCTTAAAAAAGGAAAAGTGAATTAATCACTGGAATGTTTTGTCACTTCCACTTAATTTCCTAAGTGCTTCAACAAATCTCCATAACTAAAAAAGAAAACATAAAATACTTACTTTTTCATTTTTTTTGAGTTGTATTTGACTTGGTAAGCTGCTAGAATTAATTTGTCTGGACCACTGTCAAACTGATGTGGAATGACCTTCTGAAAGTGCTATACAATAAAAGATACAATAAAAGAAAAACAACTGAACCACTTAATGCCACTTGTTATTAACTAATTAATAGTTAAATTTAAAAGTGTGAACTGACTTACCTGTAACATCCCTTCCATGTCAAGTTGCATCAATTCTGCTTGATTCATTTGAAGAAGTGCAAATCCTACTCGAAACACTATTTCTAAACCCTGGTAAAAAAAAATTAAATGAAGCCAAATTCATTTTACTCTTTCATCATCCAAAACAAATAATTCAAAATACGACTAACTAAAACAAACATCTAGGAATGTAAACTAGAGACTGGCAAACACTTTCTATAAAGAGTCAGACAGCAAACATTTTAGGCTCGGTGGGCCATCCGGTCTCTCATAACTATTCAACTCCACCACCATAGCTCAAAAGCAGACATAGACAAATAGGCAAGTCTGGATTCCATGAAAATTTTATTTATAAAAGAGGTGGCAGGACAGATTTATCACGGCACATCAGTGAATATTTTTTCAACTCCAGTCCACAAGTAATTTAGATAGATTACATCACAAGATGTACTTAATAACAATTAACACTAGGCTCAGAGAATAGAAGGCAAAGGATCACTGACAAAAATAAAATCTGCAATGTGTTTACAGACTAAAAAAAAATTATACTTTTTAACTGTTTAATGGATAACAGATGCACTGCAACGCTCTTAATTTTAAGGCAAATTTTATCTCTCATAACTCACTGTATCAGTGAAGAGGTGATAAAGAGGTCTGATTAAGAGGGCTGGCTCTAGACTTCTACTGTTTATGTTTGAATTCTACTAAGTATAATCACATCTACGCATGTCCTCAGACAAGCTCCTTAACCTTTCTGTAAGTCTCAGCTTTTTCATCTACATATCATAGAATATATATATAGGGATAGCGACAATAATTTACCTCATAGGTCTCCAGTAAGGTTTAGATGAGATTTTCCATGTAAGCAGTCTAGCAGGGCCTCGTGGAATTCTTATTCCTCTCTTCACTGCCCTGCTGTAATTAGCCCAATGACCCCTTTGATCAGCTCTTGCTCCTAACCTGCTCATTAGCTTACCTCACACATAAAGATATCAAATATCCTTGTTGCAACTGGTAGTGGAAATGTTGTCAGAAAGACAGTTAAAAACCAGGATGATGCATACATTGAGGTATGAAAACTCTGAGACTGGAAATGTACAAAGAGCTCAGGAAGATGTTCCTGGAGGGAAGAAAAGAATTAGTTAAGGTCAGATGTGGTGGCACGCACCTGTAAGTAAAAAAAAAATTAGGCAGATCAGGGATTTAGTTCAGTGGTGCTGCCGCCTGCCTTGAAAGCATAAGAACCAAGTTTGATCCCCAGTAACCTGCAAAAAAATTAAGTAAAACTTAAGTGTTTTAAATCATATGTGTGTGTGTGTGTGTGTGTGTGTGTGTGAAAATATATATGACATATTAGCCAATACCAAACACAAGATAAGACCAAGGATAACCAGGCATGGTACCACATGCTTATAATCCCAGATACTCAGGAAACTGTGGTGTGAATTGCTAGTTCAAATCCTCCTGGGAAACACAGTAATAGCCCATCAGAGCAGAATAGAATAGAATAGAATAGAATAGAACAGAACAGAACAGAACAGAACAGAACAAAACATGCGTAATACCAAAAATCTCAGATATAGAGACTGACACACTCAGGATAGTGGCTGTTACTTGGTAAGAGAAGGTAAAGACTTGGAATTTTGAGTACGGTATGCCTATATCTGATTAGTAAGAAAAACTGACTTATAGCCATATTATATTTAAACCAAGTACCCATCCAACTATAAACACCATTGAGTGGCCATGTGATTCAATGTTTGTATTTGTTTAATCTTGTTGGTGCGAACACAGTTATCTGATATTCCTTTTCTGTAAACTAACTTTCTTTTTTTGAGACAGGGTCTTGCTAAGCAGTTTAGACTGGCTTCGAACTCAAGGCAATCTTTCTGCCTCAGCTTCGTGAGTGCTGGGACTGCAAGTATGCACCACCACATCTGGCTAGGTAAATAATATTTCCCAAAAAATTTAAAGAAAAGAATTGCTTTGCTGAAATATCTTCACTTGCTACCTACCATTGATCATCTATTCTAACCTTTCTACGGATAGGAAAAATATGCAAAATACAGGTACTTAAGTAATTCAAAAAAGAAGTAATACAATAACTGTAAATATACCAAGAATGTTTAAGGTTGATTAAAAACAGCTATTTCAGAAAAAATTAATATATTTTTTAATGTGAAAATGTTTTACATATCCCCTCCTTCCCACCACACAAAAGATAAGAGGATTGCATAATTCCTGTAGGTAAGGCCACCAGGGAAAGGACACTCAAATGAGAATATTTGTACCTTTGCATTTTAGGAAAATGTGTTCAAATTGTTCATACTGTATAAACATAAAATCCAGAAAGGTAACATAGTTCTAAGATATTTTCACTTGATTTTGATTCTACTTCTCTTTTCTCCATCCTCATGTAGTCCCCAGACATTTGACTCTACAACTATAAACACAAAATGATAGAAATATTATGGGAAAAAAATACTACAGACTAGCAAAAGATTAAAAGGGAAAGCAAAGGAGGACTGAAAGAGACATTACAGACAGTCATGAAGTAAATGAACTGATTGACACCAATGTCATAATGTCATAAAGCCCTTTTCAGAGTTCAGACTAGATTACTAGTCAGTAATAGAATGTAACAGGATATAAGGAAACCCATATGTGCAAGCAGTGGTTATGGTATATTTGGCAACAATGCTTAAGATCTGAATAAGAAAACTGCAGCTAAGTTCTACATGTATTTTACCTGTAGATAGCACCTCACTTGGAAGTAGGCCCATTCATGTATTAAATGACCAATAAATGATTATATGATTAGAGCTCTGATCTTTCTCAACTGCTGTAATGTTTATAACATTAATTTTGCAGGGGCCAGAGATTTAGCCCAGTGCTGCTGCTACCTGCGTTGCAAGTACAAGGTCCTAAATTTGATCCCCGGTACCAAAAAAAAAAAAAAAAAAAAAAAAAAGCTAAGATGTCACTCAAATCAAGATGGCAAAAATACAAAACTGCACTTTTACCTGTATCATGCATTCAAACTGGTACATACAAAGGCCCAACTCTGCCATACTTGGTTTAAAAAGTTCACGAAGTCTATAATCTTGCATTAATTTAACAAATACACAGAAAGCTTCTTCTTCTGGCATCTGCATTTAGAGAAAAAAACAACACAGGTTACTGTTCTGTGATACACAAATACATCAAGTTATATTTAAACAAAGTACCTATGTAACCATAAACATTACTTTGAATGGCCACATGATGCAAAGTCAAGGGCAACTGACCAAGAGTCAGGAAGTTCAAGGCTCACATTCTGAGAATGAAAAGTTAGACAAGTTTTAACAACCCCACAGACTAACTTCTTTAACTTGTTTGATTCATCAACTCACCCAACAAATACTCATTTAGAATCAGATATTTTTTCTTTCTCCAGCACACATGTATCAGTGAACAAAAATACCATTCTATTTTTCAAGGAATTTATAGATGGAGAAACAGACAACATACAGAATAAATCAAGAAATATATATATGTTAGGGCCAGAGTTAGCTCAGTGGTTCTGCTGCCTGCCTCGCAAGCACAAGGTCCTGAGTTCAATCCTCGGTACCAAAAATAATAATAGATAGATAGATAGATAGATAGATAGATAGATAGATAGATAGACACATTATAACTTTAATTATATTATATATATATATAAATATATATAAATATATAAATGGCAATGAATGCTATAGAAAAATAAGTAGCATAAAAGGCAGTGCTGGAGAAACACGCTATTTTTGCAGAGCACAGAAGGTCCCTTTATAAAGTAACATGTGAGCAAAATTCTGAAGAAACTGAGGGAACATCTGAGAAAAGAACAGTCCTAGAAGACAGAAGAGTATAAAGGCCCTAAGAAGGAATCATGCAGGTATGCTCAAGGAACAGCAAATAAGATGACTAGAAGTCGCATTACCCACTTGAAGAAAATAAAACCTATGCAAGAAATCCTTAGTAAATGCCAAATAAAAGAATGAAACAATAATTAAATCAGATTTATATTGCTTAACAAGCAAAAAGTAGTAATTATGTTATGAGTACAGGTTAAGTTATGAAGGATAAATAAAAAACAACCAAAATATAGACTTTAGAGGCCACAGTATGGTTTCTGACTTTTCACCTTAAGATGAAAAGCCTTGAGGATTCTGAAAGGTGATATGCTATAACATTAACTGTTAAAAGAATTTACAAAATAAGCTTTCAGATTATCTTTAATTGGGACTTTACCAATTACAATACCCCCAAAAGATCTCTAGGCATTCTTATTGAAACTGGTTCAAATGACAGTACATTATACCTGCCCTCAACATATCTGTGGACAGAAGCCAACAGTTATACTTCCTTCCTTCCAACCAATACAACCACAATTCTGCCTTGGAGACCATCCCTATAAATCCTATGAATCCCTCCAGCCCCAAGGTTTCATGTCAGACCCTAGCCCAAGATCCCAGACCTCCCAACCCTACATGGTTCTACTATTGTGCTAATCTGATCCCATTTTCAATCTTCTACCTATATCCTCAATCTCTTTTCAAATACTCTTCTCTTCTTGAAGCTAAAATGTGGCTCTCCCCTTAGGTAACTTTTTCAACCATAGTATTGGAAGGAGCGAATGGTTAGCAAGGTATGTGTCCCTTCTTGAACCTTAAAGCCACATCCACACCATAAATCTTCCCTGGTCTCTGAAATACACACCTATGTATCTCTCATTTACTCTTAGTTTTTCTCCTCCAACATCCAAAATCTGGGCCACCATACCATGCTACTTCCAACCACCATTATTTCCCTGGCCTAGTAGATCTTTGACTTCCTTTCTGCCAATTAGCCTGGTAGGCTGTTAGTACTAGCTCAGGCTCTAGAGCCACAAAGATTGAATTCTCAGTTTTTTCATTTAATAGCTATATGATCTTGGACAAATTACTGAACCTCTTTCTTTACCAGACCTACTTCCTTTTTTCTCTTCCCAACCTGCAGTGCTCACTTTGTGGCTATGTTATATTTATTCACTTACTGAAATCTATAATTACCTTTTTCTTTCTCTGTCTCTCTCTCTCTCTCCCCTTCCTTCCTTCCTTTCCTCCCTCTCTGTTACAATTCTAACTGGCAAAATTTATCCTTAGATAAATTCAAATCCAACATTAAAGTGCTACAAAGTAGCAGGGGAAAACAAAAAACAAACAAAAAAACTTAACCATGCTGGCTGGTTTCACTTTGAATTTAAAACCACTAATTTCAGTGGATCTTTAATACTGTCTGGTATGTTATTTCCCACATTCAATCATTCTCACTTTAAACTTTCTTCTCAGTCCTGAATTTTGTGTAAGTGCATGATACTGGGAACTGAACTCACATTATAACTCTACCACTGAGCTACATTCCTAGTCCATTTCACTTTATTTCGAGATACAGTCTCATTAAATTGCCTAGTCTTGCGTGGAACTTGTTGTGATCCTCCTGCCTCAGTCTCACAAGTAGCTGACATTATAGGCTTGTACCACCACACCCGACTCAGTCCTGACTCAAACTGCATTCTAACACGCCCAAGTCTTTTGTCATGTTTTGTTTTTTGAGACAGGGTCTTGATATGTATTTCAGGCTGGCCTTCAACTATGTAGCCTAGGCTGCCTTGAATTCATGGTGCTCCTCCTGCCTCAGCCTCCTGAGTGATGGGATTACAGGCATTTGCCACCACCATGCCCAGCATTCTCCATTCAATTCTAAATTAACTATTTAATTTAGATCTTAGTAAATTGCTATTTCAATTTTTTTTAAACAGAAGCAAGCAAAAGAAAATTTCCCCCACTTGCATACCACTATATTTACCACCACTTTCACCTGGACTTTTCCCCAATTGCTGTCTCATTTTTCCAACTGCCCACTTAATAGCAGGGCACAGTGGTATACTCCATGTAATCCCAGAATTTAGGAAGCTGAGGCAAGAGGCTCCAATTTCTCACTTAGTATCTCCACGTGGATGTCCAAGAGACATCTCAAACCACACATATCATTTCCTACTCTACCATTCTTTGCTTCCCCAAACTTTCCATTAAAAATATTTTTTTGTGGGGAGGTACGGGGGATCGAACTCGGGACCTTGTGCTTGCAAGGCAGGCGACAGAACCACAAAAATCTTAGAGTCATTACTGATTTCTTTCTCTTTTACTTCACATCCCAATATATCACCAAATTTTGTTTGCTCCATATTCAATTTCAGGAATCAATACCTTCTTATTCCAAACACCTAGTCCAAGCCACCAAAGAAGGGGTAACTACTGCCTGAACTATTGCAAATTGTTCCTTGTTTGTCACTCTGCTGCCTTCCTTGCACTTCCCTCCCCAAAGCCCATCTCCATATAGCATCATACTGCCAGTGAATTCAAAAGCATATTTAGAAGAACGTTTCACGCCACTGATCAAAATACTCCTGTGGCTTCCTACATCCTCCATAAAAGCCAAATTCTTACAAAATCTCCTGTAATGTGATTTCTTACTACTAACTGTATCTCCTACTATCGTCCTCTTTCCACCCCCATCTAGGCACAGTGGGAATTAATCAATTAATCTCCCTTTTATGTCTTTCAAGAATTTCTTTATATACCACAAAGTTTCACTTATTTTCCCCTGTGAAAGAATATTAATATAAGAATGGGAGGAGGTTTTTGTAATGGTGATGTTTTAAAAATAAGGTAGGTTAGGGGCTGGGGATTTAGCTCAGTGGTTCTGCTGCCTGCCTTGCAAGCGCAAAGACCCGAGTTTGATCCCTGGTACCAAAAAAATTAAATTAAATTAAATTTTTAAAAAATTTTTAAAAAATAAAAATAAGCTAGGTGGCTTGACAAAAGGGCAAAGTCACACACACACACACACACACACACACACACACGAACAACAACCACTTACTATTCTATAGTAACTCTTTCCTATTAGAAAGTATAATCATGATAACCAAGTCCTACAGCAATCTGCTGCTACATATTTTGCCTATAACATAAAGTTGATAAAAACAAAGTCCATGTCTCTTGTAAAGGTCTAACAGGAATAAAAATACTTAATTTTATACAAGAGATATAAACATTATATCGAACACTTTTAATCATTTTTATACAATGCACAGTAACTTTGTAAATTTCTTCAAACTGAGTTACACTGCTAAAGTTGTGGGAGACATATAGCATGGGTATATGAGCATAAACTTTAGAGAGGTGCTTTTGAATATGGTTCCACCACCCTTTCTACCACATGATCCTGGGCTGCTAAGAGATTAATATGGTGGTATTGCTATTACTGATAATACAAGCCAAGTCAGTCAATCACCAAAATGCCACTGATGAATTTAATGGTGGTGCAGATGCTCCTTGAAATAAATATCACTCCACAACTGCCTGCAGATCTTGAAGGAAGGTCTGATAGCTGTTTAGGGTACCTAAGAGAGCCAAGGCAGCTGTTGCAAGATTTACCAAAGTAGGGAAAAACTATCATTTATTTTCCCAGTAGAGATAACTCCTACAAGTTATTCTCATGAGGCTGAGACAGTAGGATCGCTGTTTGAGGTCAGCCTTAACTACATAGTGAGACCCTTTCTCAAAAAACAAAAGGACAATATACTATAACAACCACTAGTAGTTCTTATAACAAAGTAAAAATTAGGCACTGTTATTATAAACCAGTGTATATGACATCAGATTTATGCTACTTAGAAAAGATGTATGGAGGTTGGAGTCTAGCGTGGTGCAGCACTGGTAAACCACATGCACAAGGTCCTAGGTTCAATCCTCAACACCACACACACAAAGACACAAAGAGCGACTGTGTGTGTGTGTTACACATACAGAGCTTCAAAACTCAGGAAAACTGAATAGCTGAGAAACTGAAGTATTAAGGAACAAGAGTTTCTGAATCCTATCCTGCTTTTATCTACCAAGATGCATCATCTTGGGCAAGTCACTGAACTTTCATTGCATGTCTACTCTGTGCCAAATACCGTGCTATGTATTATTTCATGTAAGCCTCACAATGAGTCTAAATATAGATAACACTAAGAGTCAGAAAGAGGTTAAATAATTTAGTCTAAATTCACGGAGCTAGTGCAGAACTGAAATGCAAAACACATGATTCAAATCAAGTTATCTCCAAAGTCCATTTTCAGAACTAAAATTAAGACTATAAAAAGCTAAATTGCCCTTTAGTTCTGAAAACTGCCCCTCAGTTCTGAAAACATCCCACCAAACCCACTTCCAAATAAGTCATGGTCAATGTCATAATATCTCCGAGGCAGTGAATGCAGCTAAGTACCACTATGATAGATTTTATAGCAAATATACACAACAAACTTGTCACTCCATGGCATAAAATTCCAATATAAATTTCCAAAGACATTATACAACATAAGTAGGATTTTCATACTAATGCTTTAAACATGTACTCATTGGATGGGGAAAAATTACTTCCCATTAAATGTTAACAAGTAAGATTTAAAGGTAGAAGCTTTAGTAGAATATTATGGTATAGCTGTATATATCAAGAAGGTGAGGGGCTAGAGGTATGGCTTAGTGTTGCAGTGTGCAAGATTCTGGACTCAATCTCCAATGTCACACACAAAAAAGGTGAAATTTCATTTAGTGACAAACTATTATTTTAAGTCATTTCAACATTTTCCTCTTTCAAAGTGCAAACTAAAAAATTACTATTCAAGTTATATGGAAAAATACCCAAAATCTACTTATTCTTTTTTGTCTTTTATTTTCTTTTTTCTGGTACCAGGGATTGAACTCAGGACCTTGCATTTGCGAGGCAGGGCAGGAGCACCACTGAGCTAAATCCCGAGCCCTCTACTTATTCTTAATAAAAATAAAGATGACTTTTAAATTCTCCATTTCAAAATGGGAAGGGGAACAAGGGTGGAGGGCAGGAAAAAGGAAGGAAATAACAAAGAAAAAAGTGAAAATAGAAGGAAAAAAACGGAAACAAAGTTTTTGTACTTCGGGAGGAGAGGGGGATGCGGGGGAGGGATAAAATAAAATTTATTTAAAAATAAATAAAATTCCCCATTCCAACCTTAAGAACTTAGACACTTAATACCTGTATTAACTTACCTGCATAAGCAATAATCCAACTATAAAAGCACTTCCTTGACAGTAACCAACCTCACGATCCACTAAAGAATATGCCTAAAAAGTAAAAAATGCTGTTCAAAATACTTCAACATTATATATTATGCCATCCTTCTCCAAAAACCTAAATTAGTGAGACAAGTAGATTAAAAATCCATTTTTTTAGAAAAGCTCTTGCTTATTTATTTCATATGTTATCCTATTTTTAAAAGCAAATGTTTTAGGACTAGGGATACAGCTCAGTGGCACTGTGCCTGCCTGGCAAGTGTAAGGTCCTGAGTTCGATTCCCGGTACCAGGGGAAAAAAAGCAAAAGCAAATATTTTATCACATAAAATTTTCTTTTGACAATTTCCCAATAAGAAATTGGCAGCTCCTATGCAAAATAAAGGAATTTATAATGCAGAAAAGCTTTAACATCAAGTAAAATTTATATCTGATAAAGATAAAACTAGAGCAAGGTTAAGGCAAAATGTTGGCAAAACTGAAATGATTTAACAAGAAATCAGTATTTCACAGAGATAATGAAGAAAAAAACTATGGAAAGAGAAAAGGCAATGTTGAAGGAAAAATCAGAATGGCAAACCTTTCAAGTGCTTAAGCATTCTTACTAACACACGGCCACTCCAAGTAGAACAACTTGCTGGCTGTATGAATACAACCATGATAGGAGCCCAGGTGAAACTCAAAGAAAGTGAATTTCATTTTCATAGGACCTCTCTACGGTATGTGATTAGTAGGTTATTTTATTCCTGTAAACTAACACTGAATAATCTAATAAATTTTCTAATAAATTCTCCAAACTGGACAGTAATGTAGCATCTAAATTAAAGCCAAAATTAAGCTTAAAATCACTTTTATTGTCAAAGCAATTGATTATTGTGGTGCAAGTTCACACTTCATCATGGGAAATGTATAATTTCAATCTTTTGAAAATTAATTTCATTTTTTAAAAAACTGATAAATTGAACTTACCTTCATTACATTAAATAAAACCTCCTGTCCAAGGCTATCTTTTTCTTTAAAAAAATTATGTTCAGGGTAAGTTCTAGCAATGTCCCTTCTGATCAATTTTTCACAAGGTGAGGTCATTTTCAGGAGTTCTGAATACTGATCCTTAATTGGCATACTTTGTGCACTGCATAAAAGTTGCCAAACTATTGCTCTAAAGTGGTGGGGTATCCCTTTACGAACAAGTTCCTAAAAAATAAAAATAAAATAAAAATTTTAAAATGAATCATTTATGTCTCACACTTTACAAATCAAAGATTTACTGGGAAATGGAAACAAAGTCTTTGTAAATAGGGGAGGGGGAGAACGGAGGGCAGGGGTATGGGGAAAAAATTAGAACCAAGATCTGTCATGTAAAGGTACAAGATCCCAATGATAAATGTAACTGTACTGTATACTTCAAAAGTACCAATAAACTCAATGAAGGAAAAAAAAAAAAGATTTACTTGGGAAGGGTACTGGAATAAAGTGGAAATTTTTATCAAATTTGTAATTCATAAAACTAGTTTCATAATAAAGAAAAATAATTTTTAATTAAACTAGGAAGCTTTTTAACCATGTCTATGACTTGGTCCTTTTACATATCCTATGCTGGTAAGAATAGTACAAAGCCATGAATAAATTCTGGTCATTTCATTAAGAATGTGGCCTCTAATGTATGAAGGACTTAAATTTTCTGTCAAAGTATGAATGATAACACCAAACCCATCACATTTTAAAGGGCTGTTGAAGGCAAAATAGTAAAATACTAATAATTCAAGGATATAGGAGGTCAAAATTTTATTTCTACATTTACATATCAGAAAATTTAATCTGTAAAATATTTTTCAGCTATACATTTCTACATTTCCAGGACCTCCATAACAACTAATTTCTACAAATCAGAACTTTTATGAGACACAAATAACTGAAAACATATAAAGATGATTTCTTGTTATATAGCTTGGAAATTACAATGTTTATTCTAATCCTCTGTTAAACTACACCTGATACCCTCAGATAAGAGGAAAATTTTCAAAATAAAGAATATGAATACCTTAACTTGCTTTTCCTTCTTTTTGCGAACATCTTCCCATTCATTAACAATTCTTCCCCAAAGAATCCAAGAATCTTCTTCAAGGTGGCTGAGATTGCTGGAAGCTGATGAACTTGATACAAGAGAGGAGCCACTGTTTCTTCTTGACCCATTTACAGATCTTAAAGACTTACTATCCGTCTCTAACAATCTAAAACATAATTAAAAACTGCTCAAAATCTCATCTGCCAATGATCCTAAAGTAGTGATGATACTTAGAGCTTCACTACTATAATTTAACCATTGTTTTAAGATACAGCTTTAATAATATGCTTTATTTTGATGATGTTTTGGTTGGCACCAATAAAATAACTGCTGTATTTTTTTAACCTATGTATAGCAGTTTCAAAATTTGAAGTAGCAAATTATGTCAAACATTTCAGTGCTATTACCCATTATAATTTCATTTCTATTAAAAATTCAAATTAGAAAAAAAAAAAGAAAACAATGAGAGGAAAAAAAATTCACTTTAGGGAGCCAGGTACACAGTGGCTCCAGGCTGCAGTCCCAGCTACTTGGGAAGCTGAGGCAAAAGGATCCCTAGAACCTAAGAGTTCAAGACCAGCCTAGGCAATACAGTAAGTCTTAAATTTTTTCCCTCAAATTAGATGAAATCTGGTGAGTGGTTGGATGGGTTTCAGGAAAAAATAACACATACTTGGAGGAGGTACAATAAATTCTATGCAATTGGTAATTCTCCTATTATGTTTATAATGTGACCACGGCTAAATAAGGCAGAGACAGAAAAATTAACCAAATTCATTCTTTGTTTAAAAAATTTTTTTGCTTCGTATACACATAACCCATCTGTCCAAACAAAATGAATACACATACATACATACTCTAGTTATAATTCTATATTCTCTTAAAAATAAAAAGATGGCATGAAACCAGGCCCATATTCCTGCACAGTAACAACCGAGTTCAGCAAAATAGGAGCTTCTTCCTTTAGATGAGGAAGGACTCCAATTTTCTCCATCTTCATAATCCACTGTCTCCAAAACTCTGGCCAAACAACAGCTGCTATTTATCAGTGTGAGCTTGAAATGTGAAACTAGGATCTCTTCACTCTTGAGATCCCTGTTGACTTTTGAATCTGAAACTTCTTTTTAGGCCTCTCCTCTAAAGAAAAATAGTTAAAATAATTTCAAAGATCCATCTGACAACTCAACAAAACACTAAATCTTTTATTTCTTTCACATATGTACAGGCTACAAAGGAAAGTTATAAAATGTGTCTCTATCACTATAAAGATATAGACTATATATAAATAATTCAAAGAATAAGGGTCCTGGGGCTGGGGATTTAGCTCAGCAGCACCATGCCTGCCTCGCAAGTGTAAGGTCCTGAGTTCAATTTCTGGTTCCCCCTCTACAAAAAAAATAAAAATAAAAATAAGGGTCGTAAAACAGCTACTTGTTTATTTAACATGGCTACTTACTACTCACTTTCAGTTACTCCTTCAAAAATGTCAGCTGCTTTAAAGTACAAAAAAAATGCTCTCAATTCTAATTTATAAAATATGGTCTACGGCCATACCACCCTGAATGCACCCAATCTCGTCTAATTTATAAAATACGAAAACTGGGACAGAAAAGAAACATAAGTCAAATTCTATTTTACAGATTATAGAACCATCTTTGAGAGCCAGATTTATGACTTACATGTTATAAATTAACTCAGAGAAAAATATATTAACAATTTATTGAATGGAAATAATCCCATTTTTTTTTTCAGTACCAGGGATCGCACTCAGGACCTTGCACTGGGAAGCAAGCATAGTGCGTGGCATGGCATGGCTTGGCCTTGCCTTGCCTTTCCTTTCCTGTCCTGGACAGGACAGGCCAATCCATGCCACACCACACCACACCACAGACTGAAAATAAAACATTAATACATTTATCTGAATAAAGACTGATATGAATAACTCTTAAAATCAATAATTCAGAAAACAAATACTACACTTTTAAAAAGACCCTAACATTCTCAAGACCTCAGGTTCAATCCCAAGCACAAAAATAAACAAATAAAGACTTAAACTGAACCTTTTCCAAAACAACATAAAATCAAGTGGCCACTAAACACGTGAAAAATGTTGAACATGTTTATTAAGTGATACATATCATAAGGAAATGCAATTTAAAAACCACAGTAAGGTGGCAAGTGTGGTACCACTTACCTGTAAGCCCATCATTTTCAGAGGCTGAAGCAGGAGGATAACTACTTTAAGCCCAGCCTGAGTTCAAACAGTAAGACCCTATCTCAAAATCAAAAAGTAAAAAAGGGTTGGAAATGTAGCTCAACGTGAAGGCTCTGGTTTCTATCCCCAATACTTGAAAATAACAACAACAAAAACAAAGAAACAAACTAGGTACATATTGGTATGGCCACAATTCTAAGGGCTGACCAAACCCAAAATTAGCCAGTATGGGAGGTATTGTCTCTCACAAATCACTATAAACAGTATAAAATGGTCTGATGACTGAAAAAAACTGCATGCCAATTCTTTGAAAAGTTAAGATTCACTTCCTAATTGCCAAAACCCAGAAACAATCCATGTGTCTGGAAAAGTAAATGATCAAACTGTAGTATATTCACTGATTGCAATACTATTCAGTAATAAGCAGAAGTAAACTGCTGATACATGGACCAACATGGATGAATCTTATAGACATTAGGTCGAATGAAAGAAGCCAGGTACAAAAAAGTACTATTATATTATTATATTTTATATAAAGTTCAAGAATATGATATAGAAGAAGATATAGGAGTAGACTTTCATGACTTTGTTAGGTAAAGCATTCTTAAATATAACTCCAAAGCACAAATGACAAAAAAAAAAAAAAAATAGTTGCGTCATATGGTGGCACATGCCTATAATCCCAGCACACTGGAAGGCTTATGGCAGAAGGAACTAAGTTTGAGTCCGACATGAGCAACCTAGTGACTTAGTGAGACCCTATCTCAAAATGTGGCATCCATTGTAGAAGCTCAAAACACAAGCAATTACCTGTTCAGTGAGGCTACTCAGAATAAAAAGGAAAAAAGAAAAAGAAAGAAAAGAATCCATGACACAGTGCACCTCACATCGAGGTAAAGGACAAGCAAAAATCCTGGAAAAAAGAGGCAGGTGCTTCAGATGAGAGAAGGTAATAAAGTCAGCTGGGACAATAACGCCAGGTAACCACCTAGGGCCCATGCTGGCCTGCAGTGCTGAAATAAATGCTGCAAAAGAGTTAAATACAATTATCATTTTTTCACAAACAAGAACGTCAGATATGGAACTTAGGGAGCTTGTCAAAAATAACATCCAAACAGCTCAACAAAGAAGAAAAGTTAACCCCCTTGAGATTTTAACTGAGACCTTGACAACTTGGAGCCTTGTGCACTCTGTTTTGCAGCCTGAACAACTGCGCCTGAGAGCCACTCAAATTTCTGCTCCATGGAAATCAGCCACTGGTGAGAACTGTGTAGTTTCGGTCTTAGAACAACTGCTTGCCAAATCTGCTGTCTTTCACACTGCAGACCTGCCTCTCAGAAAATATGATATTGTTACAGGAAAATTGCAGTGCTCCCCTCTGGAGGAGGTCGAGCTATCTCCCCCTCTCCTTGAGTGGCTAAGATCACAGGTGTGGAGGTGGGGGCAAAAGCGTGAGAACTGCTTGGCTTTAGCGCACCAGAAGGAGTGAGCAGGGTGCTGTAGTCAGACTCATAGGGTCAAGCAGGGCTTGCATTCAATGTGCAAAGAACTAAAATGAGAAAATAAGCAATGGATTGAAAACAGCTAGGAAAGCTCTGAAAGAATAAAGCAAAATAGTGAGAAAAAACACTCCTGGCTTTAAGAGACCCCAAGGCCAGCACTGTGTTAGCAGCCTGATGCTGCCTGCAAAGTCTGGAATTCAAAACAATGCCAGAGAAATTGCAGGTGTGCTCTACCAGATGTAAGGGATTTTAAAGAGAAATCAAGTTTCAGTTTGAGTTGATGTTTAATTGGTATGCTTAAAACATTTCTTGTGCATTGCAAATTCTTGAATTGTAATTATAGAGTTAACTTGCTCTTTTCTGTACTTGGTGATGAAAAACTCAAGGTTACTACTATTCTATTGCCAGGCAGTCAAATTTTAAAATGTAACAATCTGAAAACAGAAAAAAAAGAACACTTTAAAATTTAAACAGGTGAAGCCAAGTTTGTTACAGAAGGTTTATAGTAAGTGAGATGGAGGAAAAATATTAAGAAGGCTATGAATAAAAGAGACATACTTCAGAGCTGGGTGTGGTGGCTCACACCTGTAATCCCAGCACTCGGGAGGCTGAGGCAGGAGGATCGCTGTGAGTTCGAGACCAGCCTGGGCTACAAAGCAAGTTCCAGGTCAGTCTCAACTACATAGTGAGACCCTGTCTCAAA